GCCAGGCCCTGATGCTTCCAGACAAGGCTGAGCCTGGTGCTGGGCTGTAGTTCTGAGGCCAGCAGGCAGATGGCAGTGTGGGGCTGGCAAAGAGCCCTGTCCCAGGTGGGCCTGCCCTCCACCCAGGGCACAGAGTGACCCCCACCTGGAATCCAGGCTGGGTCAGGGTATTGGTCACGCCAGCCGTCCGGGGTTGCCCGCTCGTATCAGTGCTGCCCAGGATCCCACAGTACCTTGTTCAGTCACAGTTAGACCAGAGAGATGGGTGTGGACCACAGGGCTCAGCCCTCACAGCCATCACCACCAGCCCCCATCTCTGTTCGTCTGAACTGGTACCACTAGGCAACACGACCTGTCTTCTCTGAGGACCAGGGACCAGACCCAACTCAGGCGGGCAGTTGTCTGCAGGTGCATGGAAAGCTTGCAGCCTCCTGGTACCCTTAAAGGGTCCGCTCTGTCTCCCAGCTAGTCAGGCGGTCCCCAACCTTCAAAGACCTACCCCCAAAGCTGTCATTCACCTACCCCCAAAGACTTCATACCACCTACCCCCAAAGCCCTCATCCCACCTACCCCCAAAGCCCTCATCCCTCCTACCCCCAAAACCCTCATCCCTCCTACCCCCAAAGCCCTCATCCCACCTACCCCCAAAGCCCTCATCTCTCCTACCCCCAAAGCCCTTATCCCTCCTGCCCCCAAAGCCCTCATCCCACCTGCCCCCAAAGCCCTCATCCCTCCTACCCCCAAAGCCCTCATCCCTCCTACCCCCAAAGCCCTCATCCCTCCTACCCCCAAAGCCCTCATCCCACCTACCCCCAAAGGCCTCATCCCACCTACCCCCAAAGCCCTCATCCCTCCTGCCCCCAAAGCCCTCATCCCACCTGCCCCCAAAGCCCTCATCCCTCCTGCCCCCAAAGCCCTCATCCCTCCTGCCCCCAAAGCCCTCATCCCTCCTACCCCCAAAGCCCTCATCCCACCTGCCCCCAAAGCCCTCATCCCTCCTGCCCCCAAAGCCCTCATCCCTCCTGCCCCCAAAGCCCTCATCCCTCCTGCCCCCAAAGCCCTCATCCCTCCTACCCCCAAAGCCGTCTTCCCACCTACCCCCAAAGCCGTCTTCCCACCTACGCCCAAAGCCGTCTTCCCACCTATGCCCAAAGCCGTCTTCCCACCTACGCCCAAAGCCCTCATCCCTCCCATTCCCAAAGCCATCATCCCACCCGTCTTGTGTGGCTTTTTCACTGCTCCATCTAAAATGGAGACTCACGCTGTTCCCCTGACCCCCATCTCCCTGGAAAACCCCTATACACATTACAAAACCCAGCTAGGGCATGACTTCCTCAAAAAAAAACACTACCCTGGCCCATCTTCTCTCCCGTCTGGGTCTCTGATAACCCTGCAAGCCTTGTCTCAAACCTGACAGCACCCTGGAGGCGGAGCCCTTGTCTTTCTGCTCCTGACCCTGCCTTTGACTCTGAACCTCCCTGGAAAGTGTGTTGTGAACAGACGCTGCAAGTGGCTAGTTCTCCATAGAAAGCTAGAAAGAGCTCTGCCATGGACACCATGTCTTAGGACCTGGGGAAGTTGGTTAAAATGTGTATTCCTGGGTCCAGTTAGACGGTCTGATGCTCTAGGTCTGGGGTTGGCCCTGGAATCTATATTTTCAACAAGCGTTCCAGGGGTTTCTGGTGGGGGTGGTTGGCGGCCCCCACTATGATGGCAGGGCTGGTGTCCAAGGTTGGAGCTAGGCCCTCACCTGGAACCTGGCTCCTTTGCTTCCATCTAACCAGGAGGTCTCCAGTATTGGCACAAAAGTCTCTGCAGAAGGAGGCCTGGCCACCCGCCTGAAGAGCTGCTGCCCGCAGGGCAGGAACGGACTGGTCCCGAAGACCCTGGGGCTGGCTCTGGACAAGACTTCCTGGGATGACACAGATGAACTGGAGCAGTCAGGGTGGCTTCCTGGAGGAGGCAGGTCTAAGGAAGGAGTAGGCTGAGAGGAGAAAACCTGTGTGGGCAAAGGCTGGGAGGGGAGGCCCAGCCAGGGACCCTCAGGAGCCCACCACCATGGGCTGGACGTGAATCCCTGAGGGGGCCTAGGAGTGTCTGGGGTGCATGAGTCCCTCTGGGGGCCCAGGAGTGTCTGCAGTGGTGAGCCATTGCTCAGTAAGGTAATTTGCCCATTTTCTGAAATCGGGGCAGTTTTTGTCTTGCAAGGGCACTGATGGATTATGAGGGAGAATTAGACCTGGGAGGCCGGTGTGGGACCAGGGGCTGGCCCAGCGGAGAGGTCAGGACAGAGCCCCCTGCCCCGGGGAGGGGTTGGGGATGAGACCCCATGATGTGAGGGGGAAGGGGGCTCGGGGATCAGCAGGACACAAGGGCAGCATGCCTGGCCCTGTCCTTCAACCCCTCCATGCCTGTTTCCACGTCTGTTGAATGGGGTGGCAATATTGCTGAAGGGAGTGACTGCTTCCCAAAAGCTATTGGTGTTTTTTATTTGCTTTGTTTTGTTTTATTTGTCTACATAGCCACTGTTTGCTCACGTGCATGGGAATCAGATAGTGGCCAGAGGCAGGGGACAAGGCAGAGGCGGGCAGGGAGGAGACGCTGCAGGGGGCTGGCAGCAGTGGCTCATCAGCAAATCCGGGCAGCTGGCGCTGGTGGAAAGGCTCTCTGGCCATTCTGTCCCTGAGAGGCTCAGGAGGGCTGTCAAAGGAAACTCGGTCGTTGTTTAGATTCTCTTGAAAGCCAAGTGGGCTCAGTGGTCTGGAAGCCACCCGCTGTCCTCACACGGGCACTTCCTCCCCGGGATTTCTCCCCACCCTGCAGGGCCACCGTGAAGATGAAGCAGATTAAATACACGACATGCTCCCAGCAGGGCCAGGCACTGTGTGATGCCACCCAGGCCCCGGGGCTCGTTCCCACTCTGGCAAGGAAGCGATGGGACCAGTGTCAGCTTCAAGGACTTTCGGGGAAGGGGCACCATTTGCTGGGCAAGGCAGGGGGCTGCCGAGTCTGATTTTAGGTCTGGGAGGTAGAGCCCTTACGCTCATTTCGCAGATGCTTAGAGAAGTGAGGTGGCGTGTTCCTTCCCCAGTGACGGAGCCCATTCTGGGTCAGTTTCCCCTCCCCAGGGCCTAGTGAGTGACAGTTGCCACTCTGGGGACATCATCGGGGTCTTTCATGGCACATTGAATCTTGCACGTCTGGTGTACCTGGGCTGCAGGGAGATGGGAAAGGCGTGTTAGCAGCAGCGCCCATAGGCTGGGCAGTTTGGGACATCAGCCAGTCCATTTCAGGGATTCAGACAGAACCGGCACTTCTTCCTGCCTCTCTCCAGGTCTGCTGGGTTCCCTTAGGGCAGAAGAGCTGCTTCAAGGGAAAAGCACATGCACCTGGGGGCTTTGGAGTGGCTGCCCTTGCCCCTCCTTCCGCCCTGTGCCTGGCTGGGCTTCCCTGGATCGTGCATGGCCAGCAGGCAGGCTTTACCTCCAGCATCATCAGCAAAGGCAAAACCCCTTTGCATGGCAGAGGGAGCCGGAAGGCCACCAAGTGCATGCTCTCAGAGGCGGGCATGTTCTCTGGGTTCTCCAGGCTGGAGTTAGGAAGGTAAGAGGTTTCGAGGGGGAATGCCTGTGAGAGACAGAAGAGAGGAACGGGACAGGGCAGGAAGAGCAGGCCCTGCAGATCTGACCGGCTCGGCTGACCCCACCTGGCTCCAGAGCAAAGACGGACCCCAGGGGCACCTCCGTGTTTGCTGAAGTCATTGGCACTCTGATTGCAGGTCAGAAAGCTTTATCCACTTTCCCTTCCAGGCGGTGAGAGATCAAGGCTGTGATTGAAAATCAGGCTTGTGGGGTTGAATTTGCATGGATTAAGCAAGGTGCAAAGAATGCCACCCTCGCAGACACTGCAGGGAATCCTGCCATGGAAGCAGGGCTCGGGTCTCGAGGCACGCTTCTGTTCGTGTAGATCAGTGGCGGCCTCAAGATTTGTCCTCGAGTTGATGGAAACGCCTTTTGACTGAGCCGCTCTGGCTTTCATCCCCCTTCCGTTAGGGGCTGTCCTCCGTCAAAGCAGGCAGCCGGCAGTTTAGAGCATCAAGGATCCTGGGCTCAGATTCTGGCTCTGCCGGCTACCAGGTTGGGCAAATTATTCCACCTCTCTGCGCCTTACTTTCTCCTCTGCGAAGTGGAGATGCAGTAGCACCCACGTCGGCGGGATTTCCCACGGAATGTTTCCTACAGAGTCTGGAATAGAATGAGCGCTCTGAATTAGCACAGCCTTCCCATTCGTGTTAGCTAAACCACCACCAGGCTGGGGCCTGGGCCCCACGAGGCCACCACCAACCCTGACCATGGCACTCTTGTGGCCCATCCCCTCGGAGGAGCTGTCTCCAGCAGTCTCTATGGCAAATACATGCCCTGTCCCCTGCCCCCACCAACTCCAGAGCCTTGGGGCGAATTCTAGTCTGATTTTCCAGTCTGACTCACTGAGGACATTGTCCCTTGGCTGCGGGTGTCCCCTTTAACGCACTCACGATCTCCATGGAGCCCCAGGGGCCTCTCCAAGGGTGAGAAGGAGAGAAACAGATGGTAAGGCACGTCCCAACCAGCTGCTCTGCGGTGGCAGCCAGGGCGCCTGTCCAGGGATGCTGTGGGTGGAGGGGCTTGCCGGAGCTGAGGAGACGCACGCCATCAAAAATGCAGATGCCCAGGCCCATCCAAGGAACTTCCCCCCAGATGCAAGTCCCTAGGGAGGCCCAGGTCCCTGCACTTCCTGACTCGCTCTTGGATGGAGCTGGTGTACCCTGAGGCTGTCTATAGGGGTGGGGGCTAAGTTCTTCCTTGTCCCTTTGATGACGGCCTCTGCGGCCGGCTCCCTAGGGCACAGCTCTGGTGCCCAGATTTTCATGGCCACACAGGACAAGGGGCCTGGAGACCCATCTTCCCCTTCCCCAACCCCAGTGGGATCTGAGGGTCTCACAGACAGAAAAGGACGTTGTGTTGGGTTTGCACAGTTTATTGAGATAATCAATTAAGTTATTCCTTTGTTAACCAGAAAGCATCTGTGGAGAGAAAACGTACTCTCTGTATAGACATATAAAAATATATCAGTCATTCTGCCTCTCTGGACGTGAACGGAATCACCCTCCTCACCCCCCACAGAGAGGTCTCAAGCCCCAGCGAACCTTCCCTCCCCCTTTTGGGGGATACCGGGGAGTGGCAGGGACAGCCCCCAACTGTGGGGTGCATTCAGGTCTGAGGGGGAGGAAGGCTCACGGGGGCATCTTCTCGGCACCCTGCCGCAGAGCAGGCTTCGAGGTGTTTGTTCAGCAGCCTGGGGGGCTCCCCCAGCTCCCCCGCACCCTGTGCCTCCTAGCTTGTTCCAGGGAGCCCTGAGCCAAGTCTTCATCTGGCTCCCAGGCTTCGTTCTTCCCACAACATCCCACGGGCAGGGGCGAGTATGCAGCAGGAACGAGTAACATGCTGTCACTGCAGAATCCATCATGCACAGGAACGCAGGCTGGGGGCCGCAACCCAGTCCCCTGGTGTCTCTTTAAACCGGCAGCTGAGCTCCGACTCCCTCGAGTTCAGACCCGGCCCCTCACAGGCGGCAGCATTTCCAAGAGCTTCACTGCCTCCGCTGGGCACTTTAATTTTGACATCAAGGGTTCTAGTCCTAGAGGCGGTGCAGGGATGGGTGTTAGCTGGGGGTGCCCTGCAGGTGAGGCTCCAATGGCTGGGCACCAACCTTTCCATTTAGACGGGCAGTGCCCCAAATCTTCAACACTGGAGAGCAGGAGACAGTGGCAAAGCCACAGCTCAAAGTATTTCTAAGCCTTCCCTGCCTCCAGTATAACCAACCTCAGCCCTGGCGTTAGCACCCAGCCTCTGCCCAACCTCCTGGCTCAGTCTGCCAGAGGTGGCTTAGCCATAGCTCCGGACCTCTCGGTGCAACCTGCACGCGCCTGAAAGGCCTGTTTGGGAAACACCCCAGGCCATCAGCAGGGAAGAGAGGCACCCCCTTCCCTTACACATGGCCTCGGCCACCAGCCTGGACACACAGGGTGGCAGGGCTCTTGGGGAGCTGCAGCCGCCCCCACCAGTTAAGGCTGGGATGCCTCTGTCCTTGCACTGCTCAGGGTGGTTCTCGGCTTTAAGGGCACGCCATGGACCCATTCTTCTCTCCTGACCCTGGAAGTGGCCACCACCTAACAGCACATGCCTCTACTGCCTTTCCAGCTTAGGTGCTAAGAAAATAGGTACTTTTATTGAGTCCTTGACATCAAAACAAGGAGACACCCCACCCAGCCTGTGGGTCTGGGCAGGCAACGGGAGCTGTCTCCTTCCACACGGGTCCTTGGCCTGGCGGTGTCGCCGCCTGCCCCCTGCCCGAGTGCCAGGCCGAGCTCATCGTGTCTATCCTCCCGGCCCCTCCAGCACCCCAGGCCGGCCCCAGCCCCATCAGAGTGTGGCAGGGCCCAGGAGGCTGGGGGCAGGGTCCTGGCACAGCTGCAGCTGCACGCTGGCGGTGAACCAGCGGCTGGGCCGGCCCAGGCTGCAGTGCAGGGTGGTCCGGAAGGTGCTCCTGGCATGCTTGGGGAAGATGATGGTGGTGCTGTGGAAGCGCAGGGCACGCGGGCGCGGCTCCAGGGTCAGCTGGCTGCGGTACTTGCGCCACGTGCAGTTGGGCGCCGCCACAATGGTCTCGCTGTAGGCCGTGACGGTGGGCACAGGCACATAGAAGACCTTGTCCTGGAAGTGCTTCTCTGAGGCGTACTTGACCTCAGAGTTGCAGCTGGAAAGGGCAGGGGGACACAGAGTGAGCCCAGGAAGTGGGGGGCAGCCCAGTAGCCCGCCTGCACCATGGTCACGAAGGGCCCGGCGCAGACGCTCTGAAGCGTAACGGGTGTGGGCTGCTCTGAAATGTCAAGGTCAAGATGGTCAAAGAAGGGTGAGGGACTGTCCTGGCTCCACAGAGACTAAAGGGGCCAGACAGCTGGACGCAGCGCAGTGCCCCGGCTGATCCGGAGCTGGGGAGGAAGGAAGCCAGGACAGGGCCTTGCTGGGCAGATGGCGGAAACCTAGCCGGGCCGTGTGGGTCAGGTGCTGGCGTCAAACCTGCGCTTCCCTCATGTTGACAGCCGTGCTGCTGCCATGGAAGAGGGTGTCCCCATTCTTAGGCGTATCTGGGGGCTAAGGGCAGGACGTCACCAATCTCCTCTCAAATAAATAGGGCACGATATAAACAGCCAGCCACTCTGAGAGGCACCTGCCGCCTTTCAGTAACTTTGAAATTCTATCAAAATACATTTCCCAAATGCTTCAACACCCCTGGATGAGTGACTGACCAGTGACCCCCAGTTCCATGTCCAGAGCTTTAGGAAACCACACTGGAAGCCCTGGGAGGGGGAGAGTCCCCCCAATCTCATTCCCCACTGAATCCCCGTGAAAGATGTGTGAAGGGATCAGAGGTCCCGAGGGTCCCACATCTGGCCTCCACCCTTGCTGGGCTTCTGGTGATCTGATTTGGGCTTGAATAATTTTAAAAACTAGACGATGAGGGCTGCTTGGGGATTGAGAAATAATCCAGAAGTGGACCCGTTTGTCTCCTGGGACCATGTGTGTGGCTGGTGAAGGCAGCAGGCAGTAGGTCTCTGATGCTCGGCTGGCCCCACTCGACAGGGACAGGTGGATAGAGAGAGCCCCACAGATATATGGGCAAGACTCTCAGACCCCACACCCCACCTCTGGGCAGCCTGAGCCCCAGCAGCTTCAGATGTGGTGAGTTCCCAAGCAGGAGCGACTTCATTCAATTCATATGCCACCTAAGATGTCATCTGCCTGGGAGGGCACCCAGTACATCTGCAGTGCAGTAGCTCATGGGTGGCCTCAAGGACCTAAGTTATAGTCACAAAGAACATGGAGCAGCTGAGTGTCCCCCTAACACGTGGATGACAGAGCGGAAAGGGGTCCTGAGTTGCCTGAATGGTTTGGCTGTGAACACCTAACAACCTGTCAGGGGCCAGGTGCAGTGACTCACACCTGTAATCCCATCACTTTGGGAGGCTGAGGCAAGAGGATCACTTGAGCCCAGGAGTTGGAGACCAGCCTGGGCATCATAGTGAGACCCCATCTCTACAAAAAATACAAAAATGAGCCAGGCATGGGGGCTCACACCTGTAGTCTCAGCTGCTCGGGAGGCTGAGGCAGGAGGAATGCTTGAGCCCAGGAGGCTGAGGCTGTAGCGAGCCATGATTGCACCAATGCACTTCAGCCTGGGTGACACAGTGAGATCCCATTTCAAAAAAAAAAAAAAATCTGGCAGGAAAAGGGAAGGAGACATAGGGTGCATGAGTGGTTCTGCTTATAATTTTCCAGATTTTCTGGGATGTTGGATTTAAGATAAAAAGAGAAGGTAAATGGGGAAATGTCTGAATAGGCCTGGGGTGGGGTGTGGGGTGGCTACAGGGGGTCCCTTGGGGTCAGAATCTTAAAGTCAATTTTGTCTCTGGCCAACACACGGCCATCCTCCCCAGGACGCAGCACCCAGAGGGGCTGCCTAGACAGTAGGGAGCCTCCTGGGCCCCCTACCCTGGCCTAGTTCCCACCCCCACCCCACAGGAGAGTCAGGACCAGCCACCAACCCCCACCCCTCCTCCAGCACAGAGCCCAGCAGCCCACTCACCGGATCTCGTGCGTGGGTTCCGGATTCACTTTGATGGTCTCCCCAAAGACCACCGGCAGCATCCGGGGCCTCATCTCGGACGCGGGGGGACGTGAGGGCTGGGAGGGGGCCTGTGAGGAGAGCCAGGGATGCAGGGTTATGCAGCCCCTTGTGGCAGCGGCTTCAGCTCCCTGCTGGGCACACAGGACCATCTGACACCCTGTGGCCCTGGCTTGGTTTGGGAGCTGTCTGTGGGGCCCATCAGGAAGCCCGCCCAGAGCCCTCCCTGGGATCCAGGCATTCGGGGATCTGCCCAGCTCCCCACAGCCAGCCTGCCCCCCAGTTCCCAGTTCTCAACAAGGGGCACGGCCATGGCCACGGCAGCATCCACCTCTTTTAGAAATGGCACCGCATGTTCCCGAGGACTGGTAACCCACACTGGGCCAGTGAGAGCCCAGAGCTGTGGGGACAGTCCCCCCACCCTCCGCCAAGGGAGCTAAGAATGTGGGGGCAGGGGGTGGAAACCATGTGGAAATAGAGCTACACTGAGGAGAGCAGGGGTCAAAGACGGTGAAAGATCAAGTCTTGCCAACATTGTTCAAATGCCTGGGTCAAGCCACACCTGAAGCTGTCCCTAACTTGTGAGCACCAGCAAATCCATTTTGAGGCTTCAGACCATTTGAGCTGCCTTTCTGTCACTTGCAGCTAGAAGAATCTTGGCAAGGTGGGAAAGAGAGTTCTATGGGAAGAGAAACCACCCGCAGCCTCTTCAGAAAGAGCCCCTCAGACAGACACAAAGAAAGCACTTGCTATTCCCCTCCCCAGCCCACCCCACAGCTCCACGCTGGGAAGTTCTTCCTCTGGTCTGTTTTAAAATCTGTCCGAAAATTCCACTCCCTGTGGAAGCAAAGACCTTCAAGGGCATGCCCCTGCCTGGAGCTTAGGAAGAGGCTTAAGGACCCCACCCTATCCTTCGGTCCACCTCCCGCGCCCCCAGCTCAGCCCACTGCTGGTTCAGCCTCAGACTGGTTCTGGAAACGCAGGCTTCAGGCCCTGCAGTCTCTCCTCAAGCTAACTCCGTGACACGCTGCCCTCCCCCCAACTCTTCCCTCCCGAAGAGCTCCACCCCACACAGACTCAGCTCACCGGCCATCCCCCTCTGCCACCAACCCAAGAAAGCCCTGTCCATGTACACTTGGGCGTCCTTCAGGGCCAGCCCAGCAAAGTGAGACCTTGAAGTAGAGATTTCACCTGGGAGGACCAGGAGGCTCTGCTCCCAAAGACTTTTTTTTTTTCCCCCAGGACAGGGTCTTGCTCTGTCACCCAGGCTGGAGTGCAGTGGTGCAATCACGGCTCACTGCAGCCTCAAACGATCCTCCCACCTCAGCCTCCCACACAGTGGGCACTACAGGTGCATGCCACCATGCCCCAGCCAATTTAAAAGATGATGTTTGCAGAGACAGAATCTCACTATGCTGTCCAGGCTGGTCTCAAATTCCTGGGCTCAAGTGATTCTCCTAACTTGAGCTCCCACAATGCTGGGATTGCACGTGTCAGCCACAGTGCCCAGCCCCTAAAGCTGTTTAAGGCTGCGCTAGATGTTCTCCTTGGGTGCTGCTGGGACACTCAAGTCATGGCCAACCCACGAGGAACACGTGGTGAGAGCCAAAGAGAAGCCCTGCTCTTCAATGCCACCGAGATTGGGGTTGTGTGTGACACAGCATCCCCTCCCCTTCAGGGACAGCAGGGGGCCTGCAAGGCTGCTCCCTAGGCCTCTGCTGGAACTACACGTGCCCGCACCAAGGGCTCAGGGAGGTGAAGGACAGGGCTTTAAAGGACCCGCCTACTTTTCAGATATCTTGTTCCTCACTGGGGCCGTGCAGATTGGACCAGAGCATATGGCTAGCACCACGCCGGAGAACGCAGGAGTGCACATGTGAAGACACGCCTGTGGACACGCCAGAGGTCTTCCACCAGCGCACTCACTGCGCTCCTACTGTGTGCTGGCCCTGCGCTCTGTACTGCTAGTGTAGACAGAGGGCCTTCTCGCCTGGTGGAGCTGCCTGACTCCCGCTACTCTCAACAGTGTCCTGCCAATGGACTAAGATGCCAACTGCGGTCGTCAGGGTGCTGCGGGCATGAGAAGGGGTTGACCACCAGGTAATGGGGAGTGCCACTCAGGATGTGATCCTGGGGTGAAATTCACTTGCGGTCCCACAGGCCACAGGTCCTGCACTTTACTGTGTCCTGGAGTCCCCCATTAGGCACCGGGGCCACACAGCCACAAACATCACCCAGGACACCCGCACACTCTCAGCCCTGCCCCCCCGCCCCGTGCATGGGCTCTAGGATTCTAATACAGAGGCCACTAGCCACATGGGGCCGGTCAACTTCAATCCATCACAGCTCAGCAGGATGAAAAACGCCATCCTCAGTCCACCCTCCACACGTGGGCAGCTGTCTTGCTGGCCGGGGCGGGTCCAGAACCCGCTCACTGTCACAGCAAGCACCCTGCACCAGCTGCCCTGCGGGGAGGCAGGCCGTGGGTGAGGTTCCCGCCGGCAGCCCAGCCCAGCCCAGCCCCAAATGACCACTGCATGTTGTATGCTGAGACCCTCGAAGAAGAGGCTCCAAGACGTCCCCACCAACAGCCCTGCTCCCCGAGAGCCACTCAGGCCACTGGCTGGGCAGGCCCTGAGTTTGCCCCTGGTTCTGTCTGCCTGTGTCAGGAAGTGGAGGGCTGGAGGTGCTTGGGGTGGAGGCAGGTGTGGAGAGGAAGGCTGATGCATGCACAGGATGGCAGTTAATGGAAGACCATGGTCCGTCCTCAAAGCAAGGAAGACCGCTTTGAAGCACCAAAATGTGGCCAGATTTGCTGGCTCTGGCTGCAGCCTTTCATCTATTTGTTAACTGACTCTATCTAAAGTGGAGTATGTTCTATACCTCCCAAGGAAATGCCAAACCGCCACAGCCATAGATCGTCTGCTGATGCTTGGCTTCCTTCTCACCCCCACATCCCTGAGCTCAGGCTTCCCTGTTTACACACCCGATAAATAGTGTGGGTCTCCGGCGCTCCTACCCACCCGCCCCTGGGATCCCACCTTTACGCACACTTACTCTTGTCTCTTAATGTCTTTGTCTCCGCTGACCTCATTACTTCCTAGTTACGAGGAGGTTGGTTCTCCGACAGGCAGGGCAAGGGAGGTCACGGTCTGGCCTGAAACCTGCAGACCCTCTCCCCGGAAGGCGCAGCATGGCCTAGCAGTGCTAGGATGAGATGGACCCACAGAGGTCCTTGAGACAAGCAGCGAGAGTCAAAGCACGAACACCAAAAATGCAGCCAGAGGTGGCTTTCCAAGGACAAGTGCAGTGTGGGTCAAATACGGTCCCCGCAAGCCCATGTCCACGCAGACCCTGCGGATGGGGTCTTATTTGGAATTGAGGCTCCTGTGATAAGCTCATCCTGGAGGAGGGCAGGCCCTACAAGAAGAACAGACACAGGCGGCACCGAGGCTCACACCTGTAATCCCAGCACTGTGGGAAGCTGAGGTAGGTGGATCACCTGAGGTCAGGAGTTCGAGACCAGCCTGGCCAACACTGTGAAACCCATTTCTACTAAAAATACAAAAATTAGCCAGGAATGGTGGTGCACGCCTATAAATCCAGCTATCAGGGAGGCTGAGGCAGGAGAATCACTTGAACCCTGGAGGCGGAGGTCGCAATGAGCTGAGATCACACCACTGCACTCCAGCCTGGGCAACACAGTGAGACTCTGTCCCCACTCCCCGGCCCACACACAAGAAAAGAGCAGACAGACGCACAGGGATGATGTGGAGGCGGAAATGGCAGGGGCGCAACCGCGAACTCGGAGCACCTGTAGCCACCAGCAGCCCGGAGAGGCAGAAAGAACCCTCCCCCGGGGCCCTCTGCGGCAGTGTGGCCCTGCCGGCACCTGGATTGGAACTTCCGACCTCCAGAACTGTTGGAGAATAGAGTTCTATCGTTCCAAACCACCCAGTCTGCAGTACATTTTTACAGCAGCTCTCGGAAGATCACATAAAAAGGCAGCATTCTAAAACTCCAGACAGGAGCGACCCCCGAGGCCTGCGCCTCCCATCCGTCCAGGAAGGCACCAGGGCTGGCTGAGGCCCCAGGGGGTCCCAGGCCTGGCCTCCTCCCATCTTGATCAGGGACTGCGGATGGGAAGTCTTGTGAAACCAGTTTATCGCGGGAGTCTTCCTAGGGGAAGGGGAGAGAAGGGCCGAGCAGGGGACAGCCAGGCAAGGCGGAAACACAGCTATGACCAGCCTGGCCCCATCACACCGGGGGCACAGAAGTGTGACTGCCCCGTCCCACCCGAGAGAGCTGGCAGCTCGCCACTGGCTGCCCCATTCCTGGGGGTAGGAGTCACCTTCTGGAGGAAGAAGCGCCCTTTCCCCCAAGGACAGCTCTCTGGTGAAGGGGACAGCTGCCAGCCGTGGGCAGCCAGGGTTCATGGCCACTGGGGACTGGGACCGTGGGGTAGTCACGGGGACATGGCACTGAGCAGGCTTTGCTTGTGCATCTATTTCTAGGTTTTCCGCCCTCTCCTCACTCTTTGGCCCTACCCACATCATGAGGCCGCGCAGGTGGGAGGCAGGATCTCCAATCCTTACACCCCAGCGTCTGGCTCATGGTGATGCTCGGTGCTTGGTTCCTGGCTGAAGAGCGGACAGCTGGCTCCCACCGGGGACAGCAGGTGGTGGGGAACCTGTTCCTCCAGGCTGGTGCTCACGCCTCGGCTGAAAAGGGCCAATCCTGTAACCACGGTGACCACAGGGGCACTGGCCTCGGGCAGAGGCAGTAGAGGGAGGGCAAGGCAGGAACCCTGAACTCAGAGCCAAGTCCTGCTCCGGGCCCGGCTTGATGTTTCCTCCACCTGTCCCTCCCCACCACCTCCATGCCCGCTTGGACAATAAGGATGGAGAGTTTTTAACGCTCTCACTGCGCTGGGCACTATTCTGGGCACTTGCCACATAGCCTACTCATCTGATCCTTCTGAAAACCCCAGCATGCAGCTGCTAGCAGCACCCCCATTTTCCAGATGTGGAAATGTCACTTGCCCAAGGCCACACAGCTGGAAGCACCCCCATTTTCCAGAGTGGCTAAGTCACTTTCCCAAGGCCACACAGCTGGAAGAGGCAGACTGGGATTGGAACGCTGGCAGTGCGACTCCAGGGCCCGGGTCCTCATCCTTGTTCCTCCACTGCCTCCCATGCCCAGGGGACTGCCCCATCCCTGCCCCTCAGCCCCAGGCTGAGTGAGGAACCCATTGAGACACAGGCTCAAGGCATCCCACGGGCCTCTGCCCGTTTCTCTCTCGGCCCTTGTCTGTGACCCGAGGCCACCTCTGTGCTCCTGCCCTTTCCTGCTGCCTCTGCCCATTTCTCTCTCGGCCCTTGTCTGTGACCCGAGGCCACCTCTGTGCTCCTGCCCTTTCCTGCTGCCTCTGCCCGTTTCTCTCTTGTCCCTTGTCTGTGACCCGAGGCCACCTCTGTGCTCCTGCCCTTTCCTGCTGCCTCTGCCCGTTTCTCTCTTGCCCCTTGTCTGTGACCCGAGGCCACCTCTGTGCTCCTGCCCTTTCCTGCTGCACGGGTTCCTTCTCACTTCGCCTGGTGAGAGCCACTCAGTCGTCCACTCCCTGTCTTACGATCATCCTCTGTGGGGACCTGACAGCTCTATCTACTGGCCTTCATCGCAGTAACCCCTTTGTGTGTCTGTCTGCCCCAGAGAATCGGCTCCCTACAGTTGGAGCCCAGGGCTGGCACCTCTCCCACCCTGCATTTTGGGGAGGGGAGACCCCACACCTGCAAAGCAGCCCCTGCCCCAACCCAGAGAGCCCTGAGGCTCTGTCTTCAGCCTGAGACATGCCTGTCTTCAAGTCCGGTTGCAGGCTGTGGACAAACGTCACCAGCAGCTGCATCCCTGCCGGTCATGGTTACCCCAAAACAAGGGACCACAGGGAGAGGATCGAGGACTGGAGAAGCAGGAGGTTCCTCAAACCCCCAGCAGCTGCCTCAAGGTGGCCCTATCTCTCCCTAGCATTGACAAGGAGTGAGTGGCCCAAAAAAGAGGCAGCTGCCCCCTTCCTGGGTGTGGCACTCTGAACGACGGCCCCCAAAGATGTCCACATCCTAATCCCTGGGACCTGGGAATCTCTGCAAGAGGGACTTTGCAGATGTGATTAAGGATTCTGACGTGGGATATGGTCCTGTGTCCTCCAGGTGGGCCGGATGTCATCACTGAGTCCTCATAAAAGGGAGGTGGGGGTCAGAGTTGGGAAGATGCCGCGCTCCTGGCGAGGAAGGGGCCGCAAGCCAAGGAGCACAGGCCTTTTTAGAAGCCAGGACAGGACCAGGAACGGATTCTCACAGGCGCAGGAACGGACTCTGACAGGAGCAGGAACGGACTCTCACAGGCCCAGGAATGGACTCTCACAGGCCCAGGAACGGACTCTCACAGGCCCAGGAACGGACTCTGACAGGTGCAGGAACGGACTCTCACAGGCGCAGGAAAGGACTCTCACAGGCCCAGGAACGGACTCTCACAGGAGCAGGAACGGACTCTCACAGGAGCAGGAACGGACTCTCACAGGAGCAGGAACGGACTCTCACAGGCGCAGGAATGGACTCTCACAGGCCCAGGAACGGACTCTGACAGGAGCAGGAATGGACTCTCACAGGCCCAGGAACGGACTCTCACAGGAGCAGGAACGGACTCTCACAGGAGCAGGAACGGACTCTCACAGGCCCAGGAATGGACTCTCACAGGCCCAGGAACGGACTCTGACAGGAGCAGGAATGGACTCTCACAGGCCCAGGAACGGACTCTCACAGGAGCAGGAACGGACTCTCACAGGCCCAGGAACGGACTCTCACAGGCCCAGGAAAGGACTCTCACAGGCCCAGGAACGGACTCTCACAGGCCCAAAAATGGACTCTCACAGGCCCAGGAACGGACTCTCACAGGAGCAGGAAAGGACTCTCACAGGCCCAGGAACGGACTCTCACAGGCGCAGGAAAGGACTCTCACAGGCCCAGGAACGGACTCTCACAGGAGCAGGAACGGACTCTCACAGGAGCAGGAACGGACTCTCACAGGCCCAGGAACGGACTCTCACAGGCCCAGGAACGGACTCTCACAGGCGCAGGAACGGACTCTCACAGGAGCAGGAACGGACTCTCACAGGCGCAGGAACGGACTCTCACAGGCGCAGGAACGGACTCTCACAGGCCCAGGAACGGACTCTCACAGGCGCAGGAAAGGACTCTCACAGGCCCAGGAATGGACTCTCACAGGCCCAGGAACGGACTCTCACAGGCCCAGGAACGGACTCTCACAGGCGCAGGAACGGACTCTCACAGGCCCAGGAACGGACTCTCACAGGCGCAGGAACGGACTCTCACAGGCCCAGGAAAGGACTCTCACAGGCGCAGGAACGGACTCTCACAGGCCCAAAAATGGACTCTCACAGGCCCAGGAAAGGACTCTCACAGGCGCAGGAACGGACTCTCACAGGCGCAGGAACGGACTCTCACAGGAGCTGGAACGGACTCTCACAGACCCAGGAACGGACTCTGACAGGCCCAGGAACGGACTCTCACAGGCCCAAAAATGGACTCTCACAGGCCCAGGAACGGACTCTCACAGGCGCAGGAACGGACTCTCACAGGCCCAGGAAAGGACTCTCACAGGCCCAGGAACGGACTCTCACAGGCGCAGGAAAGGACTCTCACAGGCCCAGGAAAGGACTCTCACAGGCCCAGGAACGGACTCTCACAGGCCCAGGAAAGGACTCTCACAGGCCCAGGAAAGGACTCTGACAGGCCCAGGAACGGACTCTCACAGGCCCAAAAATGGACTCTCACAGGCCCAGGAAAGGACTCTCACAGGCGCAGGAACGGACTCTCACAGGCGCAGGAACGGACTCTCACAGGAGCTGGAACGGACTCTGACAGGCCCAGGAACGGACTCTCACAGGCCCAGGAACGGACTCTCACAGGCGCAGGAACGGATTCTCACAGGAGCAGGAACGGACTCTCACAGGCCCAGGAACGGACTCTCACAGGCCCAGGAACGGACTCTCACAGGCCCAGGAACGGGCTCTCACAGGCCCAGGAACGGGCTCTCACAGGCCCAGGAAAGGACTCTCACAGGAGCAGGAAAGGACTCTCACAGGCCCAGGAAAGGACTCTCACAGGAGCAGGAAAGGACTCTCACAGGCCCAGGAACGGACTCTCACAGGAGCAGGAACGGACTCTCACAGGAGCTGGAACGGACTCTCACAGACCCAGGAAAGGACTCTCACAGGTGCAGGAACGGACTCTCACAGGCCCAGGAACGGACTCTCACAGGCGCAGGAACGGACTCTCACAGGCCCAGGAACGGACTCTCACAGGAGCAGGAACGGACTCTCACAGGCCCAGGAACGGACTCTCACAGGAGCAGGAAAGGACTCTCACAGGCCCAGGAACGGACTCTCACAGGAGCAGGAACGGACTCTCACAGACCCAGGAAAGGACTCTCACAGACCCAGGAAAGGACTCTCACAGGCCCAGGAAAGGACTCTCACAGGCCCAGGAAAGGACTCTCACAGGCCCAGGAAAGGACTCTCACAGGAGCAGGAACGGACTCTCACAGGCCCAGGAACGGACTCTCACAGGCCCAGGAAAGGACTCTCACAGGCCCAGGAAAGGACTCTCACAGGCCCAGGAACGGACTCTCACAGGCCCAGGAACGGACTCTCACAGGCCCAGGAAAGGACTCTCACAGGAGCAGGAACGGACTCTCACAGGCCCAGGAAAGGACTCTCACAGGGGCAGGAACGGACTCTCACAGGCGCAGGAACGGACTCTCACAGGCCCAGGAACGGACTCTCACAGGCGCAGGAACGGACTCTCACAGGCCCAGGAACGGACTCTCACAGGAGCAGGAACGGACTCTCACAGGCCCAGGAACGGACTCTCACAGGAGCAGGAAAGGACTCTCACAGGCCCAGGAACGGACTCTCACAGGAGCAGGAACGGACTCTCACAGACCCAGGAAAGGACTCTCACAGACCCAGGAAAGGACTCTCACAGGCCCAGGAAAGGACTCTCACAGGCCCAGGAAAGGACTCTCACAGGCCCAGGAAAGGACTCTCACAGGAGCAGGAACGGACTCTCACAGGCCCAGGAACGGACTCTCACAGGCCCAGGAAAGGACTCTCACAGGCCCAGGAAAGGACTCTCACAGGCCCAGGAACGGACTCTCACAGGCCCAGGAACGGACTCTCACAGGCCCAGGAAAGGACTCTCACAGGAGCAGGAACGGACTCTCACAGGCCCAGGAAAGGACTCTCACAGGGGCAGGAACGGACTCTCACAGGCGCAGGAACGGACTCTCACAGGCGCAGGAAAGGACTCTCACAGGAGCAGGAACGGACTCTCACAGGCGCAGGAACGGACTCTCACAGGCGCAGGAAAGGACTCTCACAGGCGCAGGAAAGGACTCTCACAGGCGCAGGAAAGGACTCTCACAGGAGCAGGAACGGACTCTCACAGGCGCAGGAACGGACTCTCACAGGCGCAGGAAAGGACTCTCACAGGAGCAGGAAAGGACTCTCACAGGAGCAGGAACGGACTCTCACAGGCCCAGGAACGGACTCTCACAGGCCCAGGAAAGGACTCTCACAGGCGCAGGAACGGACTCTCACAGGCGCAGGAAAGGACTCTCACAGGAGCAGGAACGGACTCTCACAGGCCCAGGAAAGGACTCTCACAGGCCCAGGAACGGACTCTCACAGGCGCAGGAACGGACTCTCACAGGCGCAGGAACGGACTCTCACAGGCGCAGGAACGGACTCTCACAGGCCCAGGAACGGACTCTCACAGGCCCAGGAACGGACTCTCACAGGCGCAGGAACGGACTCTCACAGGCGCAGGAACGGACTCTCACAGGAGCAGGAACGGACTCTCACAGGCGCAGGAACGGACTCTCACAGGCGCAGGAACGGACTCTCACAGGCCCAGGAACGGACTCTCACAGGCCCAGGAACGGACTCTCACAGGCGCAGGAACGGACTCTCACAGGCGCAGGAACGGACTCTCACAGGAGCAGGAACGGACTCTCACAGGCGCAGGAACGGACTCTCACAGGAGCAGGAACGGACTCTCACAGGCGCAGGAACGGACTCTCACAGGAGCAGGAACGGACTCTCACAGGCCCAGGAAAGGACTCTCACAGGCCCAGGAAAGGACTCTCACAGGAGCAGGAACGGACTCTCACAGGCCCAGGAACGGACTCTCACAGGCCCAGGAACGGACTCTCACAGGCCCAGGAAAGGACTCTCACAGGAGCAGGAACGGACTCTCACAGGCCCAGGAAAGGACTCTCACAGGCCCAGGAACGGACTCTCACAGGAGCAGGAACGGACTCTCACAGGCCCAGGAAAGGACTCTCACAGGCCCAGGAAAGGACTCTCACAGGAGCAGGAACGGACTCTCACAGGCCCAGGAACGGACTCTCACAGGCCCAGGAAAGGACTCTCACAGGCCCAGGAACGGACTCTCACAGGCCCAGGAAAGGACTCTCACAGGCCCAGGAACGGACTCTCACAGGAGCAGGAACGGACTCTCACAGGCGCAGGAACGGACTCTCACAGGAGCAGGAACGGACTCTCACAGGCGCAGGAACGGACTCTCACAGGAGCAGGAACGGACTCTCACAGGAGCAGGAACGGACTCTCACAGGCCCAGGAACGGACTCTCACAGGCCCAGGAAAGGACTCTCACAGGCCCAGGAACGGACTCTCACAGGCCCAGGAACGGACTCTCACAGGAGCAGGAACGGACTCTCACAGGCCCAGGAACGGACTCTCACAGGCCCAGGAACGGACTCTCACAGGCCCAGGAAAGGACTCTGACAGGCCCAGGAAAGGACTCTCACAGGCCCAGGAAAGGACTCTCACAGGAGCAGGAACGGACTCTCACAGGCCCAGGAAAGGACTCTCACAGGCCCAGGAACGGACTCTCACAGGAGCTGGAACGGACTCTCACAGACCCAGGAAAGGACTCTCACAGGAGCAGGAAAGGACTCTCACAGGCCCAGGAACGGACTCTCACAGGAGCAGGAACGGACTCTCACAGGAGCTGGAACGGACTCTCACAGACCCAGGAAAGGACTCTCACAGGTGCAGGAACGGACTCTCACAGGCCCAGGAACGGACTCTCACAGGCGCAGGAACGGACTCTCACAGGCCCAGGAACGGACTCTCACAGGAGCAGGAACGGACTCTCACAGGCCCAGGAACGGACTCTCACAGGAGCAGGAAAGGACTCTCACAGGCCCAGGAACGGACTCTCACAGGAGCAGGAACGGACTCTCACAGACCCAGGAAAGGACTCTCACAGACCC